GGCGCCTGGGTGGCTCAGTTGGTTGAGCGACTGCCTTCGGCTCAGGTCATGATCCTGGAGTCCCGGGATCGAGTCCCGCATCGGGCTCCCCCTGCTCGGCGGGGAGTCTGCTTCTCCCTCTGACCCTCCTCCCTCTCATGCTCTCTGTCTCTCATTCTCTCTGTCTCAAATAAATAAATAAAATCTTTAAAAAAAACAAAAAACAAAAAACAGTACAAACGCACTGAAAACCTGAGTTTATTTTATGTAATATTTATTAGGAAATTACTAGAACTCTGTAATTTCCAGAATCTTATCATGAAAGTAACTGTATACACAATGATCTGTCTATGTGCATCAAGGGACCATGTGGAAAATTAAAGGAAAATGTCACACCTGAGGCTCTAACCTAGGGAGGCAATATCAAAGGTTGTTTAGGGGACTCCCCCAAGTTCTGGATGAGACAAAAAGGATAGCGAATTGGGCTTAGAAAGATAGAAAATAGTGGAACCAGAGTTCCTGTGGCATCACCTGGAGACGAACTATTTCATCCCTCCTTATTATTTTAGGTTTTTACTGCTGAAAAAATCTATTTCATAAATGCTGCTAGTGAAATTTGTCCAAAAACAGAAGAGGTAAAGAAGGTAGGTTAGTCTTGAAGCTGTTTAGGTTAGATACCAACCACTGTTCAGCAACCCCTTCCAGTTTGGGCTAAAGCTTAATACCCCATTGGGATCATTCATCTGTCACCATTTATCGAGTATCTATTCTGTGCCAAGCACTGGTTAAGGTGCAGGTAAACAGAGAAGATACAGTCCTTGCCATCTAGTTTATAGAGCAAACGGTAAGAAAATCATGTTTCACAACCACGGGATAAATATGCCTGGCACAGGGCGCCTGGGTGGCTGTTGGTTAAGCCACTGCCTTCGGCTCAGGTCATGATCCTGGAGTCCCGGGATCGAGTCCCGCATCGGGCTCCCTGCTCGGCGGGGAGTCTGCTTCTCCCTCTGACCCTCCCCCTTCTCATGCTCTCTCTCTCTATCTCATTCTCTCTCTCAAATAAATAAATAAAATCTTAAAAAAAAAAAAAATATGCCTGGCACATAGTGAAGCTCAACAAACTCAGTGACTGAATCAATACTATAAAAGTGTGCACAGAAAACAAGGGGGCATCCCAAAGGACACTTGTCCCTTTGCCCTAACACAGACAAACCTGACAGTTCACTACTTTGCACACTTGTACACAGAAACCATCCTTAAAAGAATAAACAATTAGCTACAAAGGTCTATGAGACAAAAAGGGGAGGGGGAGTAAGAGTCAGGAGAAGTCTTATCACTCATTTTATATAAAAGAATATTTTAATTCTTGTCCTTAGGAACTATAAAGACTATAGATGATTTGGAAATGAGACTGTACCAAACAATGGCCAAAGGAGAATCGTCCATTCTACGCCTTCTCTTTGGTCTGGTCACTCAGAAATATAATGTTATCTGTAAAGAAACCAAATCATAAATATTATTTTCAGAACTCTTTCTCATTTAATTGTTCCCCTATAATACATACTTTAGTGCTGTTATCTAACAGGATTTTAGAAAAATTCCCAAAATGTGAAATAACTCCTGCTATGTTCATGAGAGGCACAGAACAGGCACCAAAGGAGCTAGAAGCTGGGCTTCAGCTACGTGACAATTCAGACCTTGTGAGAAGAAGTGTGGTATTTCTTGTCTTTCCTGAAGACAATTATAACTGCTCAGCAGTAACTTCCTACAAAAGAACTAGTCACAAATTGCAATGCCGGCAATGCTCAGATGCCATGAAACCAGGCAGATGTCCTCACACAGAAGAGGGTCCAGGCATAACATTTCACACACTGGAGGTGTGGAGAAAGGATGGGGTGCAACATATGGCCCTGTGAGCAGACAGACTGATGTCTTTAAGTAGGCTGTCACACTCACACAGAGGACATTCTATTTTTACATTTTAAAACAGACTGACTTTTATATACTCATTCTTGGGAAAATTTTTACTAATCAATATTACAGAGAGGGCATTTTCACACAAGAACATCAGCTACTGCACTTAAAATGTTGTCCCAGGTGGAGTTAGCTTAGGACGAGCAAAGGAAAAGAAGTAGTATTTCCTGTATAGCTTGAAAAAAATCCAGATTCTTGTAACTTTAGAATTATTCAAGAAGTGGTTATTACAATATTTATGACTACAGTCTTCTAAAAACAGAATATTCTGATACAGAATGGTTATTGCAGAAGAGATTATTACAACTTGAAACCACAGTGTAAAAAGGCAAGAGTGCCATCCACTGGTGGTTACTTTTATGTTAAAGACATGGATCCCTAGGAGAAAAAAAACCACCAAGCAACCAAATTTAAATTCTATTTCTGAGCATTGGGTGTTATACGCAACTAATGAATCACTGAACACTACATCAAAAACTAATGATGTACTATATGTTGGTTAATTGAAGAAAAAAAAAGAAACTATTTCTTTCAATTCAAATGTCACTAAAGATCTATTCATTTTTACTACTGGCCATAAATCTATTAATTGTTCAATTAACTCACCCATGCTGTGAATACTAGTGACAAGAAGAAAAGAAAGTGACAGATGATCTGAACTATTTCTATTTAGTGGTTGGCTTGGTTCAGAACAATTCATACAATCCAAAGTTTGCCCACACTTTTGGTTTATAGTGGAATAGGAAAGTGTTAAATGCTTTATAAATAGATAATTGATAGAGATTTAGAAATGCTAAATTTTTATTAGAAAATTTGACTTTCCACTGATGAAATCATAGGTGTAGTTCTACGCCCTTTAGAGGTCTACAAAAAAATTTTTAAACAGGTAGATATCTCTGGAGAGATGGCCTAAGGAAGAAGAGCTCGCAGAAATGAAATACTATCAAGACACCCAAGAATTATGAAATCAAAATGGTCAGACAGGACCTCATCTAAGGCCTGATAATGAGGGTAGAAAGATAACTATGTTGGTTTTCAAGGTCAATATACCTCAAAGAAACCAGTAAGAAAATATATTATTTATTATTTATAACAAATTATAATTTATCAATATGGTACAGTGGTTAAGACATGGACCCTGGAGCAAGGTAAAAAAGAAAGGTAAAAAGAAAATCTGTCAATTAAGGGACTTAAGTTCTCAGAGGTCTAGCCTCCAAAATTGTGAGAAAATAAATTTCTGTTATTTAAAAGAAATTAAGAAAGAGACTTAAGATACATATAAACCATGTAAGATAACCTATGGACTTGTATTTATGAAGCAATCAAAGAAATTTAAACATTGTGATGTATGGTAAAAAAATATTAGTAATTTCTTAATACTATGTACGATAATAGCACTATAGTTATGCTTTAAATAGGAATCCTTATCTTTCAGAAATACCTACTGAAAATATTTATGGATGAAATAATATAATGTCTGGAATTCACTAGAAAATAATCCAAGTGGAGGAAAAGTGGGCTGGAGAAATAGGAGAAATAATATCGGCCATCAGTTGATAATTGTCGAAGCTAAATGACAAAATATTTTTTTTCCACTTTTCTATGTTTGTATATGTTTGACATTTTCGATAATTAAAAAAATTAATTTTTAAAGGATATCCAATTTTGGCATATCTCAGAAGTACATAAGCACTGAGACATTACTTTCTTTCATCTCTATGTACTTACTTATACAAAAGGTTTCTCAGTGTTTATATCCATAAAAACTAATAAAAGAATAGAATTAATGTTTAATAATGGGTCTTATTTTAACAATTTATTGAAGAGAGAAAAAATGGCCATCTCTCTCATTAAAAGATGCATTTCCAATAAAATTTCAGTTTTCAAATTTATATATTAAAATTGCTTTGGTACTTTATGTTCTTGTTTTTTTTTTTTTTAAACATTTTATTTATTTATTTGAGAGAGAGAATGAGATAGAGAGAGCATGAGACGGGGGAGGGTCAGAGGGAGAAGCAGACCCCCTGCTGAGCAGGGAGTTTGATGCAGGACTCGATCCCGGGATTCCAGGATCATGACCTGAGCCGAAGGCAGTCGCTTAACCAACTGAGCCACCCAGGTGCCCCTGGTACTTTATGTTCTAAAAACAACACAATGATAACCCAATCAAGAAGAAATGTAATATTAATAGTCGTAATATCACAGAATTTTTAAAAATATTTTTAAATTTCTATTTATGTATATGTTTTTCTTATGAACATAATAGGATGAATAATAAAACATTCTTAACTATACAATATTTATTAAGATACATTTCTTAGGAGAAAATGGAAAAACAAGCTCAGAAAAAAAGAAATAACATAAAATTTCCAAATGTTGAAGAGCTTGTTCATGTGTTTTTTTCAAGGATGATGGGTATCAAATTGCTATGGCATTTACATCCATTAATACAATTCAGAGTAACAATTTCATATTGAAAAATATTTTCATGTCAACTTAAACATGTCCAAAGGGCTACATTTGTTTCAAAATTCTTGTAGAATTTTCAAAAAAGTTTGAAAACTCTGCTCTGGGAGGTATCTTCTTGACCTTTAAGCTTTCGTGTCCATGTTTCCTACGTTGTTTCACATTTTGTCTAAGGAAAACAACAGGAACTTAAAATCATCATGTTAAGGACCAGGCAGGCTGTGAATAAACCTGCACAAATGTCTAATGCCACTCACAGTAGGGCAACTCTATCTTGGCACAGCCTTCTCCCTGTTTAGACCATGTCCTCAAAGACATTAAAGTTTTTCTCGCTTCAAACAGTTAAGTACTGACACAGATGCTCTACTCAAAAGTTACTGAAATGAAACAGAGGCAACTTCTGAAGGATCAGAAGTACACACTCATAGCAAACCCACAAACAGACTCACAATTCTCATGGTGAGCTGCCTGACAATCTCAGCCATCAGTACTCAAAGCCCCTGTTCAAGTTACTTACAACAAGCCAAGCCTTTAAAAAGGGGAAGGGGGTGGGGGAATAGATATTATCACAAGCTTCTTACCAGCTATGATTGTTGTTGCTTGCCGCCTCACGTTATTTTTATCTGTGTATTCACCATAGTCTACTTTCCCTTCTACATAAATTCGGGACCTGATAAATGTAAAATTTACAGTTTTCAGTCTGGAGAGTCTCATCTGTTTTACAAGAGAGAGTCAGGTGAGAGGCAGTAACAAGTACATACTAAGGATGAAACACAGAATCATCGCATAACCTCGTTTTTGCTACCGCATCTCAAAGTTCAACATCAGGAGTATTAAGGGTACTGAAACAGAATGTCCACACAGACTTGACACACCCAGGGAAAAAGGACAGTATTCTCAGCCTTGAGCTGACAGCAGTCCTCATGAAAGTTTAAAAAAAAAAAAAAGCGACTTTAAGACCATGAAATGGAAGAGCAACACAGTGGCATCCTTCCAATCTCTAGGACTGATTTCCAAAGTGTCATTTTCCCCCACCTTTGATTCTGGACTCCCTAACAGATTTGCTGATTTTCACTTATTGTTCAAATTCCTTCCCATAGTCAGGTTCATGAACTTATTCTCAAGGGACTTAAATTATTAAAATTCAAAATGGAGGTTTTCAGCTTAGTATTTCACTTAGAGTTAATTACTACGACCACTTCTGCACTATTTAGAAGGCTGAACCACAAGACAACCATAGCTGATTTTAAAGGGTAGAAAATACATGCTGGCATCAATTTTTAGAGTCTACCATCACCAAAATAGCATAATATAGAAAGTAGACAAAACTGGTAAAATGATTGTAGGCCAAAGGGAATACACACAAATTCATCAATCAGTGGGTGACATTGCATACAGATATTTTTCTTGAAATTTCCTGTATTTATAGGTGTTGTGTAAATGCACAAATTCATACATACATACAGGACTATGGAAGTATATATAAAAAAGGCATGAAGTTATTAAAAAGAAACAAATTTTAGTTATTCCTGAAATTACTTTTCAGGAAATATACTTCATTTCTATAAAACAAGTACATTTCTAAATATATTAACTATGAATACAAATGCTGTTCAACACACCCTTTTGTCCTTCTATGGGTTTGGAAAAGACAATTTTTATTTATAATCAATCCAAGCATCCCAAAAGGGAACTACTAAGCCGACATAAAATTATCAAACGTAACATAACTGCTGTGAACACTGCCATACCTCCCTGTCAGGCTTCAGACACTCTAGGTCCTGTACTAAGGACTCTAAGTAGATGCCAAGAGGCCACATGGGAACTCCTAAAAGCACGTGTTGCACATGCTCACACGGAACTCAGTACACTCTGCCTTCTCTCTTGCCTCATCTGCTTCTATTTATGTACACCCCTTACTTGCCCTAAACTGTAAGTTCTTAGAAAGCTAAACCATGTTTTACATACCTCTGAATTACTCACACGTGGCAAGACGCCATGCATAAGTACTAAGCTCTGAATAAATATCTCCAGTTAACAGAGTAATTAGGGTAAAGGAGTTAGGCATTCCCTGAAAACACCTTTGACCAGTTCTTTAAACCAATCTATAAGATCCTTCCTTCCTCAACTTACCCCTTTTTCACATACTGATATGCCACATCTCTGAGGCCTGGGCGGAACACTGATATTCTGTGCCATGTTGTCTTTTGACTGACATCACCTAAATCACAAGAATAGGAAACATGGTTATAAATGCCAGCACACAAAACAAACGCCAAAAGACAACATGCCCAGCAAAACCAATGTCACAATTTCTAAAAGAAAGGAACAGAATTAGAGAAGAAAGATTCTTTCTCAAAGTAGCTCATCTCTAATCAACTAACTGAGAATAAATATTGTCTCTTTATTGCTGATACAATGAAAACCCTAGTCTTTTATACTCACCCATCTGGTAGGCTTCACTCTCCCCGGACCGCCACATCTCATTCGTCGCTAGAGAAAATATCGTGACTGGGTTTTTCCCTTCCACCTGTCTCATGACGGGGTCCTGACCCACTCGCCCAAGCAGCTGCACACGGTTCAGAGCTAAAACACAGTGTGGAAATAAAATGAGATTCAGATAAAGGTCCAGAAGGGGAACAGCTACAAATACTACTTCAACCTCGATCTCAGCATTAAACAAAACCCAAGTTCTAAAAGATCCAAGCTAAGTTGGGGCAAATAATGGGAGGCTGGGAGGGAAAAGAAGGGTTGGCAAGAAGGGAGAAAATATTCTTAGAGAAAGTATCCCACAAAACAAACATTAAGCTCTTTATTTCATCTTAAATTCTTTATTAAAATACCTTTTTTGGAAAAAACTGTACGATTAAAAGAACAAATCTGAGATCTGAAAATCTTTATGAGTGAATATTTCTGTGAAAGAACAGCTTGCACAAACTTTCACTCCCTCAGCCAAATGGCACGTGACCTTGGAAGACTGAGATAACCAAACAGGACTCAAGGAAATCCTACAAGGCCCCTGCAGCCTGAGGGGGCGAGGCCAAGAGCAGAGACGCAAACATGAGCCAAGGGCCTGAGGATTAACAGATTATACCCCAACTAGTGCACCTCTTCTACAACACGTTTAAAAATTTCTGTACGTTGCTATAAATAACATACTTTAAAATAGGGAATTAACTACTACTTACATCTTTCAAGAACCAAGCTGCTAGCTATTTCAGACTCACGTCTTACAAACTGGTGAAATACCTAAAGTGGAACAAATGAGTAAAATGGCTTTAATTTGGGAGGAAAGGTAAACGCAAACAGAAGACCTGCTCACACTCGGTCACCATCGGGTCAGCAGCTCCTGTAGCACACATCCCCAGAGGACAAGCAATGCACGTCACGTGTTCCCCCCTCACAGCACCAGGAGGACCACGCAAACGCTTGAGGGCCTTGAGGGCCGACTCTTCCAGAAGCCCAAGGGTACCAAGTCCTAGACGGCAAGCCCAGGAAAGTTGATTTAGAATCCCCTCCTGTTTCTTTTCCGTGGCAACCTTCCTGATTGTGATGCTTCCGTGGCTGCACACAAAGGGTAAAGTCAAATGTATGTTGGAAAAATTCATGCTTTAGATAGACCAAAGGGAAAAGTCTAGACAGACAAATGGGAGTCTCTGATAAAATACAAAAATAGGACTATTCAAGTCAGTCTGTCAGAGGAAGGTAGTAACTGACACAAAATAGCAGCAATGATGTAACAGCCATCACTACTGAGTACCAGCTCAGTGCTTTACCTCTTACAAATTAGTCCTTGCAATAAATCGATCAACTATGTAAAATTATCCCTAGAGACCAAAAAAAAACAGTTTAGAGAGATTAAGTACCCTGCCCAAAATCCTACAAGAAATACCTGGCAAGTCGGGCCTAGAACCCAGGGCCATCTGACACCAAGGCTGCCACTCTTCCCACTGCCCTCTGCTGTCTCCTTGAAGACATTCTGTTCAAGGGCTCCTGCCATGAGAGGAGCGCACAGCCCCGGGCATGTCGCTGGTTTCAGCGTTCAGAGAGCTACTCACTACATCAGAGAAGCATGTGTCGAGTGGTAGCACTGTTTCTCTGAAAAGCAGATGTACACCAACCAAATGAATACCCGTTCCTGGGCTAGTGCTGACTATGGAATCCTATCACTACGTTTTGGGACACAGAGTGGTTAAGAAACAAAGATGGAGTAACCACACAGTAAAGACTCAGACAAACTAGTACTGGTATCACGCTTCTAGAAAGGTACTAACTGAAGTACTCAGAAGAGCCAGAGCTTACAAGTCTCAGAATAATAGGTCTCATTTGGGAAACACAAAAATTAAGACCTACTAGAAAAGCAGAAATAGGGAAAGATTTTAACTGGGGTAACTTTTAAAATTAAACTTCTCTTTTATATATCTTAACACTGTAGTATTAAGACAGCAGTAACTCTTCTACGTTCCACATTTCAACACACATACACTAAGACAGGCTAAAACTATGTATAGGTTAAAGTGGGGATCCAAGAATACAGGGTCAATTCTACAGCAGACTGGGGGAGATGAGAACAGGTTTCAGAGAGGAACTGATTCTTCATCAGTCTTAAAAGAATAAAGAGTGAGAGAGGTGTTATGAAGAAGAACCTACAAACTTCGTGCCCAAATGTAAGTGAGGAAAATGGGTAGTCTAGGCTGGCTGAAGGCTGGCTAGTGTCTGGAGAAATAAGGAGTTAGACTGGTGGGAGCGAGAAGGAATTCAGGACATAGTACATTTGTGGTGACGTGAGGACTTCAGCTGCACTCTTCAGTACAGGGAGATGGGGGATGGAAGGTTGACCACAGAGGAGGGGGCTGGTCAAAATGGAACCACGTGTCTCACAGAAAACTGCTGGAAATGATTCTCACAGTCTTTAGATCACTAAAGACATTAAATGCTAACTGATCTAAATGCAAGTAACATGTTTTAAAAAATTATGACTCCCATCATACACGCAAGCTAGAAAATTTTTGTTTTGTTTTAGTGAACATCATTTACACAAGTAAAATCTGTCGTAAATCCTCCCTACCAAATGAGTACACATAAAAGTAGGTGGGCTCAAAGGTCTTTTGCCTCTGCAGTCAAAGCCTGAAGAAATCTGATCACTACGGTTGATAATAACGCATCTCAACACTAATATGGAAAAGTGATTACCTGTAATACAGGTCTTCGAAACATGGCTTCTATTTGGTTTTCCTACAAACTAGTCTCTGGTCTTCCCCTGAAAAAAGAGAGAGAGAGAGAAATACTACATCTCAGAGCAAGAGCACAAATTCACTAACCCTAAATTCCTAACTGCATTCATAATTTTTATGCGGTCCACCTTGCGACCATAAACATCAACATCCCTGCACATTTTACGAGGGCTCCCCCCTCCAAAAAAACAGTTGTCTTTTTTATTCCCCTTGGTTTCTTCTAACACGTACAAAAAATACTTTGATTTATACCCATTTGCATTCCAGTCTTCTCAAATTTCATTAAAATGCAAGCCCCCTTAGAGCTGGGATTTTCGTCTGATTTATTCACTGCCACATCCAATACTCCTGAGTTAGTTCCTAGCACATAGTGAGGATTCAAAGTATCACAATATCACCAAGGGGCTCAAATCTGAAACTTGCTGCTGCAAAAATTACTGCCTCCAATCCCGTTAGCAAAGACCACGGAGATCCCTGGACTCCCCGGCCTCACCGCCGGGATGAATGGGCGCCCTCTCTGAAAGGTGGCGCTCCTAACCAGCAATGTAAAGGGACTGGGGAAGTGGCCGAAAACCCTGAAGTCCTCCGCACCGGTGAGAAGAGAACGGCCAAGACAGACACAGAACCGCACCGGTGAGAAGAGAACGGCCAAGACAGACACAGAACAACCTCCCGAGCCACAAACAGCCGCACGCACACCTAGCGAAGAACTCCTGGCTCCCTCCCTCCCGCCCCGGACGCTCTAGCCGGTTCAGCTTCTCGCTAGGCGAGCACTTCCGGATACAGAGAGGACGCAAGCCTCGCGAGAGGAATAAGAAAACGGAAAGTCTGCAGCGTGCGTCGTAGAAATGATCCGGCCAGCGCCGCGGGAAGCAAGCATCCTTGATGAGGTAGTTCCGCGAGGTTTTTTCCGGGCGGGAGCGGATGAGGCAACGCCGCCGAGTGGTGAGTGGAGCTGATTTCAAGTTTCTAACGAAATGAAATTATTTGACAAGCTTCCCAGCCTGGACCAGGAGGGGCCGAGGTAGACGAAACAAAGGATAGGTAGGCCTCAGGGAAAGACTGGCCAGGCCTGCTAAAGTAGGAAGGAAACCAGAAAAAGTAGTAGGGCTGGGAGAGAAAAATTCAAGGGGTGCCAAAAAATTTGGCAATCAAAATAATATTTTAAGAAGAATCAGGATAATATTTTAAGAATGTATTAATTAAATATATATAATTAAATCTGTGTTGAACAAAAAAAATCAAAATTTTGACTAAGTATAAGTTCTGAGCCATATTGAATCCTGAGGCACAAGAAAAAAACGAACGTTTTTACATATACCAAAAAAAATTCCAGAACATTAAAGTACTTGAATATCGAAAATTTGAAGAGAAGGTATTTAAAAACTCACATTAAGTTTAAGTATTTTATTTATACCAAAACCAGAAGTCATTGTAGTTTTACTTTCCTGGCTTTAATAGAAGTAAGTTGATCAATAATATTTACAAAAATCTACTTCTTTGCTTATCTTATTTCCAATTATGGGAATTGCCATGTCTGACAATTTTTCTTGCCCAAGTTGCAATCTTAAACAGTTTTAAATAACATCAGCTTACTGATCTTGTTTTATTTAAAATTCTGATATGTTCTTCATTGTGGATCTTTTCATTAATTTTAATATTTTTAAAATATTGCATTAAAGTGACCTTGATCTTGATTTCTGTGTTTCTTGGCACCCCTTAAAGTTTGCCTCATTCATCCTAATCTTGGCCCTGCTTAGCAAGAGGGTGTTGGGGTCCCACGGATTGCAGGATGCAGGCCTCCCCAGGTCTCTGCTCTGCTGGTCCTTGTCCTGTCCCAGTTCTAGAAAAGGAGGGTACCCTCCAGATCATTCTAACAAGTAAATCTCCTTCTCGGGACCCTACTTAAAGGCCTTCATTGGCCCATTTTTGCCCTTAAAGGAGAAAATACGAACTACTTAACATGGTTTCCAATGCACACTTTTTTTTATTGTTATGTGAATCACCATACATTACATCATTCGTTTTTGATGTATTGTTCCATGATTCATTGTTTGTGCTTAACACCCAGTTCCAATGCACACTTTAACCTGTTCCTAAATGTCTCCCTCCCCCTTCTGCTCCCCCCATCTAAAATAAATAAAATCTTTAAAAAAATTCCTTTAAATAAAAATCTTCCTTCTACTTGAGCTGTTGAGTCAAATGAAAAGCAAAATTCATTCGTTCCTCCAAAACCAATTTCCCCCTTCTAAGCTACTTGTTTATTTTAATGGTACCAACATTATCCCAGATTTCAACTTTGGAATCATCTTTAAAACTTCTCCTCCCATCACCTACATCCATTTGTCCATATCCACTCAGCCCTAAAAGTTATTTCATTATGCCACTGACCTCTCCCTCTTTCTATTTGCACATACTTCTGAGTGAGGAGTGTGGAAAGGGTTGTTTAAATTAAAAAAGCAGAAAGCACACCAATTGAAAACAGACAGCCTTGGGCAAACTCATAACTTTATAAATAATATCTTAATCTAAATAAATACCATCTTATGCTAATCTCAGCTTTCAGACAGGAATTACCAATACACATGCTCCTTAGGTTGTTGAAACAAATTGCAAGTGCTACTTTCCTTTTTCTTCTTGACCAAAAAAAAAAAAAAAAAACCACTAAAATGTACAAAATATATAAATATATGATGTCATGGAAGACATTTAACTCATGATGTCATGAGTTAAAGCATTTTCTTATTATCAACTAGATCCTCCTTCCCCACAACAAATGCTCCAGCATTGCTTTGCTCTCACTGTTCTCAGCATCTGAAATGCCCTTCTCCATACGTTCAAAATTCTCTACTCAAAGTCCTTACTTTGTTCTCCCATCTCACTTTCTTTACACATTCTGTTTATCTTGTACTATAATTTGGATGACCATGAAGGTGCTACATCTTCCCCATTGACTGTGAGCTCTTAGAGGACAGGGACCTTGTGAATATCCAATCAAAAATTATGGTTTAAAGCAAAGAGACGCTTTAGAAGGGCTCAGGTCACAGGCTAGAATGAAGAAATAGAAAGAAAAAATAGGAAGAACCCAGAGGGATACTCAAATTAAGCCTGAAATTAGAAGACTAAAAACAAACAACAGAAGAATCAGGGACCTGGAATAGTGACTGAAATGTATTTTTGTAATAGAGATGCCACTCTTTCAAGAATCTCCAATTTGCATAGTTACAGACTGTCTGTAGTTCATCCCTGAACCCAGAAAAGTCCTTCTCGATGCTGAGAAGTAGTGACAGATAGCAATGTGACTTTAATCAGTTACCATTTACCCCTGGCAGTAGTGGAATAATTCAGGGCTTTCATCCTTTGCAAAGCTAGCTGAGAAAGAGAAGTGTCTATCATAGATGACCAGGGCCACAAAGTTATCTCTGGCCTTGCCTTTTTTCCCCTCTAAATTAGAAAAAGTCTCAGCTAGAGGCATCAAGTGGTAGAGACCAGGGCTGGCAATGCTTTATCACAGATAGGAAGCTCTGGACAATTTTGTTGCGGTAGAAAAACATTTTTTGGAAATTTTCACTTTGCTTCTAAATCAGTTTTTCTTGGGCGCCGGGTGGCTCAGTGGTTAAGCATCTGCCTTCGGCTCAGGTCATGATCCCAAGGTCCTGGGATCAAGTCCCACGTTGGGCTCCCTGTTCAGCGGGGAGTCTGCTTCTCCCTCTCCCTCTGCCCCTCCCCCCTGCTTGTGCGTGTGCGCTCTCTCTAATAAATAAAATCTTTTACAAAAATAAATCAGTTTTCCTCAAAACTCATAATAACAGTTGGAAGATTATAGACTTACTATCTAAATGGATTACAGTATCTATTTTAAAGTGGCTCAAAAGCAATTTTAGCAGCACTTCATAGTTATTAGTTATTATGACTACTTTTTGTTGTTATTTAAAAAATTCAGTTTTTACTGTTCAAAATAAAAAAATCTGACAATTTTTATGTAATTCAGGATTGAAATTATGGTTCATACAGAGATTAAAAAAACAAGCTTAACCATTCAGGCTGAAATGGTGACTTTTATCTTTTAATGTTCATCTTTATACAGTTTTGGATAATAGCATCTATAAACTGACACGTAGGTTAGAGCTTAGTTAAGCACAACAGTATTCCTTTAAGTCTCAAGATTATCTGTTGGCAACATAACGTCTGTGTGTGTTTAAGATATAGCTATATAAAGCAGCATATTTTTATCCTAAAATATTTAAGTTCAACTTGTTTAATATTGTCAGTCCAGTGATGTTAATATTTGATAGTTTGACATTTGATAACTAGTTCCTGGGTTATCTTGTGATCTCTGTGCAGAAACGGGACTTCAGACTGAGGATGGAGCTTCTTACTGAGGCAAGGGGTCAACTTCAACTTCCAGCTGAACTGGAAGGGATTAAATCCCCAGCCCAGTGAAGACCCAGTCCCTCTTACACTCAACAGTGTCTGTGCAGCTACATGCTGATTTAGTAACTTGGTGCTACTGTGGAGCCCCCACCTCCAGAGAGAGAGGGAGAGAAAGCAGTAGTCTGGCACTCAGGTGCTGACATGGGCTCTGAGGAGCAGGGTAGAGAAGAGGTCGTAGACCTTAGTAGTACTAGTTGTAAATGCCTGAGAAGACAAGTATAATCAAAGAATTCTGGTCTATACATTGCATATGCTTAATAATAATAATGTGTTTCTAAATCACAAACTGTGGTTGACCTTGCACTTTACTGCAAGGGATATGGCTGGGGTTGGGGAGGCAAGAGATAAACCAACTCCATTTTAAGACCTTGAATAAAGACTAGATTTTTTAAAATGGCAATGGACAATCCAGAGCACTTTACCCTGCTTAACTGCATGGGAAGAATTGCTACTCCAAGACAGAACAAAGAATGATATGATGGCTTATTCGATTTAAAAACACTTCTTAATTTGGGCGCCTGGGTGGCTCAGTCGGTTAAGCGTCTGCCTTCGGCTCAGGTCATGATCCCAGGGTCCTGGGATCGAGGCCC